CCGAAACGACAACTATGTCTACCATTTGACTGTCGTTCAAATTAAACTTTTTTTTCTTTTTTGACCCTCGTTCAAAATCTAACCTCTATGCCTACCCTCTTTTGTCTCACGTCGAAACGACAACTATGTCTACCATTTGACTGTCGTTCAAATCAAACTTTGTCTTCTTTTTTGACCCTCGTTCAAAATCTAACCTCTATGCCTACCCTCTTTTGACTCACGCCGAAACGACAAAACGACCATTTGATGTCGTTCAAACAAATTTGTCTTTTTGTCGTTCAAAAATCAAACTTTTGTCTTTTCTTTTTTGACCGTCGTTCGTTCTAACATCTAAAATCCAAAACCTCTATGCAAATCAAACTTTGTCTTTTTTGACCTACCCTCTTTTTGCCCTCTTTTCACTCACGCCGAAACGACAACTATGTCTACCATTTGACTGTCGTTCAAATCAAACTTTGTCTTCTTTTTGACCCTCGTTCAAATCTAACCTCTATGCCTACCCTCTTTTGACTCACGCCGAAACGACAACTATGTCTACCATTTGACTGTCGTTCAAATCAAACTTTTTTCTGTTTTTGACCCTCGTTCAAAATCTAAATCTATGCCACCCCTCTTTTGACTCACGCCGAAACGACAACTATCTCACCATTTTGACTGTCGTTCAAATCAAACTTTGTCTTCTTTTTGACCCTCGTTCAAAATCTAACCTCTATGCCTACCCTCTTTTGACTCACGCCGAAACGACAACTATGTCTACCATTTGACTGTCGTTCAAATCAAACTTTTGTCTTTTTTTTGACCCTCGTTCAAAATCTAACCTCTATGCCTACCCTCTTTTGACTCACGTCGAAACGACAACTATGTTCTACCATTTGACTGTCGTTCAAATCAAACTTTGTCTTCTTTTTGACCCTCGTTCAAAATCTAACCTCTATGCCTACACCTCTTTTTCACTCACGTCGAAACGACAACTATGTCTACCATTTGACTGTCGTTCAAATCAAACTTTGTCTTCTTTTTTTTGACCCTCGTTCAAAATCTAACCTCATTTGACTGTCGTTCAAATTAAACTTTGTCTTCTTTTTGACCCTCTCACGTCGAAACGAAAACTATGTCTACCATTTGACTGTCGTTCAAATTAAACTTTGTCTTCTTTTTTGACCCTCGTTCAAAATCTAACCTCTATGCCTACCCTCTTTGTCTCACGCCGAAACGACAATTATGTCTACCATTTGACTGTCGTTCAAATCAAACTTTTGTCTTCTTTTTTGACCCTCGTTCAAAATCTAACCTCTATGCCTACCCTCTTTTTGACTCACGTCGAAACGACAACCATTATGTCTCAAACCATTTCGACTATGTACCCTCTTTTGACTTCGAAACGAAACTATTTACCATTCTTTTTCAAATCAAACCCTCGTTCAAAATCTAACCTCTATGCCTACCTTTTTTGACTCACGCCGAAACGACAACTATGTCTACCATTTGACTGTCGTTCAAATCAAACTTTTGTCTTCTTTTTGACCCTCGTTCAAAAATCTAACCTCTATCTATGCCTACCCTCTTTTGTCATTTGACTGTCTCACGCTTCGAAACGACAACTATGTCTACCATTTGACTGTCGTTCAAATCAAACTTTGTTTCTTTTTTGACCTCGTTCAAAATCTAACCTCTATGCCTACCCTTTTGTCTCACGTCGAAACGACAACTATGTCTACCATTTGACTGTCGTTCAAATCAAACTTTTTCTTCTTTTTTGACCCTCGTTCAAAATCTAACCTCTATGCTTTTTTTTTTTGACCCTCTTTTGACTCACGTTGAAACGACAACTATGTCTACCATTTGACTGTCGTTCAAATTAAACTTTTGTCTTCTTTTTGACCCTCGTTCAAAATCTAACCTCTATGCCTACCCTCTTTTGTCTCACGTCGAAACGACAACTATGTCTACCATTTGACTGTCGTTCAAATTAAACTTTTTTTCTTTTTGACCCTCGTTCAAAATCTAACCTCTATGCCTACCTTTTTTTGTCTCACGTCGAAACGACAACTATGTCTACCATTTGACTGTCGTTCAAATTCAAACTTTTGTCTTTTTTTGACCCTCGTTCAAAATCTAACCTCTATGCCTACCCTCTTTTGTCTCACGTCGAAACGACAACTATGTCTACCATTTGACTGTCGTTCAAATCAAACTTTTCTTCTTTTTTTGACCCTCGTTCAAAATCTAACCTCTATGCCTACCCTCTTTTTTGACTCACGTCGAAACGACAACTATGTCTACCATTTGACTGTCGTTCAAATCAAACTTTGTCTTTTTTTGACCCTCGTTCAAAATCTAACCTCTATGCCTACCCTTTTTTGTCTCACGTCGAAACGACAACTATGTCTACCATTTGACTGTCGTTCAAATTAAACTTTTTGTCTTTTTTTTGACCCTCGTTCAAAATCTAACCTCTATGCCTACCCTTTTTTTCTCTCACGTCGAAACGACAACTATGTCTACCATTTGACTGTCGTTCAAATTAAACTTTTGTCTTTTTTGACCCTCGTTCAAAATCTAACCTCTATGACTACCCTCTTTTGTCTCACGTCGAAACGACAACTATGTCTACCATTTGACTGTCGTTCAAATCAAACTTTTGTCTTCTTTTGACCTCGTTCAAAATCTAACCTCTTTACCCTCTTTTTTTCACGCCGAAACCTATGTCTACCATTTGACTGTCAAAATCAAACTTTTGTCTTCTTTTGACCTCGTTCAAAATTCTATGCTACCTCTTTTGACTCACGCCGAAAACGACAACTATGTCTACCATTTGACTGTCGTTCAAATCAAACTTTGTCTTCTTTTTGACCCTCGTTCAAAATCTAACCTCTATGCCTACCCTCTTTTGACTCACGCCGAAACGACAACTATGTCTACCATTTGACTGTCGTTCAAATTAAACTTTTGTCTTCTTTTTGACCCTCGTTCAAAATCTAACCTCTATGCCTACCCTCTTTCACTCACGCCGAAACGAAAACTATGTCTACCATTTGACTGTCGTTCAAATCAAACTTTTCTTCTTTTTTGACCCTCGTTCAAAATCTAACCTCTATGCCTACCCTCTTTTTTCACGTCGAAACGACAATTATGTCTACCATTTGACTGTCGTTCAAATTAAACTTTTGTCTTCTTTTTGACCCTCGTTCAAAATCTAACCTCTATGCCTACCCTCTTTTGTCTCACGCCGAAACGACAACTATGTCTACCATTTGACTGTCGTTCAAATCAAACTTTTGTCTTCTTTTTTTTTTTGACCCTCGTTCGAAAACTATGTCTAACTGTCGTTCTACCTCGTTCAAAAATCAACCTCTATGCCTACCCTCTTTTGTCTCACGTCGAAACGACTACTATGTCTACCATTTGACTGTCGTTCAAATCAAACTTTTGTCTTCTTTTTTGACCCTCGTTCAAAATCTAACCTCTATGCCTACCCTCTTTTGTCTCACGCCGAAACGACAACTATGTCTACCATTTGACTGTCGTTCAAATTAAACTTTTGTCTTTTTTTTGACCCTCGTTCAAAATCTAACCTCTATGCCTACCCTCTTTTGACTCACGTCGAAAACGACAACTATGTCTACCATTTGACTGTCGTTCAAATCAACTTTTGTCTTCTTTTGACCCTCGTTCAAAATCTAACCTCTATGCCTACCCTCTTTTGTCTCACGCTGAAACGACAACTATGTCTACCATTTGACTGTCGTTCAAATTAAACTTTTGCCTCTTTATCTACCATTCTCATCATTTCTGTCATCCAATTAATACAATGCCATTGGGTAGTTGGTCATGTTCTCCACAACATCCTTTTCTATATTTGCTTTCTAAGTAACTTTGTCTTTTTATCTGCCATTGTTCATTCTGTCATCCATTAATACAAGGCCATTAGGTAGTTGATTATGTTTCTCCACAATTTCCTTTCTTTTCTTCATTTCATCAATAAGTAACTTTTGATCCTCTTTATTCTGTTGTTCTTTACCGATTGTCTTTTCCTCATTCTCATTCTGTCCAATTAATACAAGGCTGATAGGTAGTTGATGGTTGTGGCTCTCCACAATTTCCTCATTCTTTCAATTTTTTTTGGGTAACTTTTGCCTCTTTATGTTCATCACCCATTGTTCATTCTGTCATCCATTAATACAATGCCATTAGGTAGTTGATCATGTTTCTCCACATCCTTTCTATGTTGCTTTCACAACGATTGTCTTTTTACTACCATTCTCATTCTGTCATGTTCTAGGTAATCATTTTCCACTCCTTTTTATTCTATCTTTCCCATTGTTTTTCCCATTCTCATTCTGCTATACCAATTAATATAAGGTCATTAGTAGTTGATCATGTTTCTCCATAACATCCCATTCTATGTTGCTTTCTACATCGATTGATTTTACTTTCTACCATTCTATTCTGTCAACATCAATATAAGGCCATTAGTAGTTGATCATGTTTCCACAATTTCCTATTCTATGTTGCTTTCTACAACGATTATCTTCATTTACCATTCTATTCTGTTGTCAATTATACAAGGCCAATAGGTAGTTGATCGTTTCTCCATTAACTTCCATTCTATGTTGTTTACAATGATTCCTTTTTTATCTCTCATTCTGGCATCAATTAATTAAGGTCATTAGGCCTCTTCCACAACAGGAATTTGCTCACAACAATTTCCTATCTTTCTGTCAACAAGCTTTACTTTTTTAAAGGAGTTGATCATGTGTTTCCACAACATCCTATCTCATGTTGCTTCTCAAAGATTGTCCTTTTTACTACCATTTCTATCTTTACCAATTAATACTTTGCTATTAGGTAGTTGTCCTTGCTCTCTAATTTCCTATTCTTTCTGGCTCTTAACAACGATTCTTTTTTTACTACCATTCCAAATTTTCTATCTTTCCTACAAGGCTTTCATTTGCCACTTTTTCTAAGGTCCTTGCTCTCCACAATTTCCTATCTTTCCTATGTTCTTAATACAAGATTGCCTCTTTCCTAACCAGGACATTCTCTCAACAATTCCTATCTTTCCCATGTTTCTCCTTAATTTCTATTCTTTTTCTAAAGGACCCTTTCTCCCATTTGTCATCAATTTCCCATTAGGTAGTTGATCATGCTGCCTCTTTCATGTTGCTTACAGATTGTCTTTTTTACTCTAATTTCATTCTTCCCAATTAATAGCTTTGCCTCTTTCTGAAAGGTCCTGTTTCTCCACAATTTCTATTCTTTTCTGCTTTCACAACGATTGTCTTTTTCATTACCATTCTCATTCTCTTCATCAATTAACATAAATGCCTCTTTCTAAAGGACTTGCTCTCCACAATTTCCTATCTTTTCCCGCTCTTACAAAGATTGTATCTTTTTTTACCAAGGACATTCTGTCATCAATTTCAATCTATTCCTGTTGATAGCTTTCCACAACATCCTTTTTTTCTTTCAAACGATTGATTTTACTACAATTTCATTCTTTCCTCAATTAATAAAGGCCTTTTTCTAGTTGACCTTGCTCTCCACAATTTCCCATTCTTGTTGCTTTACAAAGATTGCCTCTTTACTACCATTCTATTCCACAACAATTAATAATACTGCTCATTAGCTTTTGCCTCTTTTCATCCTATTCTATGTTGCTTTTACAAAGATTGTCTTTTTACTACCATCTTTTTCTGTCATCAATTAATACACTGCATTTTTTCACAAAGGACCTTGCTATTCTATGTTTCTATCGATTTCCCGCTCCATTCCCATTTTGCCTCAATTTTCTAAGTTGAGGTACCTTTCTCCACAATTTCCTATTCTATATTTGCTTTCACAACGATTGTCTTTTTTCTACCATTCTCATTCTCTCATCGAATTAATACTCTAAGGGCGCCATTAGGTAGTTGATCATGTTTTGCAACATCCCTATTCTAAAGGACCTTCACAGCGATTGACTCTTCTTTACCATTCTCATTCTGTCATCAATTAATACAAGGCCATTGGTGATTGATCATGTTTCTCCACAATTTCTCATTCTATATTTGCTTTCCACAAACGATTTTTTTTATTACCATTCTCATTCTGTCATCAATTTACAATGCCATTAGGTAGTTGATCATGTTTCCACAACTTCTGATTCTATTTGCTTTACAACGATTGTCTTTTTACTTACCATTCCTATAAATTTCTGTCATCTTTTTTCTGAAGGTCATTAGGTAGTTTGATCATTTTCTATCTTTCCTATCCCTATGTTGCTTTTTCAACGATTGACCTTTTTACCACCATTCCTATTCTGTCATCAATTTATAGCAAGGCCTTTAGGTAAGTTGATCATGTTTCTCCAACATCCTATTCTGTGTTGCTTTCATAACGATTGTCTTTTACTACCATTCCCATTCCACATCAATTAATACATAATGCCATTAGGTAATTGATCATGTTTCTCCACAATTTCCTATTCTATGTTGCTTTTCACAACGATTGACTTTTTTACCATTCTCATTCTGTCATCAATTAATACAAGGCCATTAGGTAGTTGATCATGTTTCCTCCACAATATCCTATTCTATGTTGCTTTCACAACGATTGTCTTTTACTACCATTCTCATTCTGTCATCAATTAATACAATACCGTGGGGTAGTTGATCATGTTTCTCCACAACATCCTATTCTGTTTGCTTTCATAGCGATTGTCTTTTTACTACCATTTCTCATTCTGTCATCCAATTTAATACAAAGGCCATTAGGTAGTTGTCTCACTCTGTCTAACCTCTTGTTCTCATTCTGTCTTAGCCCTTGCTCTCACTCTGTCTAACCTCTTGTTCTCACTGTCTTTAGCCCTTGCTCTCCTCTGTCTAACCTCTTGTTCTCATTCTGTCTTAGTCCTTGCTCTCCTCTGTCTAACCTCTTGTTCTCACTCTGTCTAACCTCTCCTTGTCTAACCTTCTCACCTCTGTCTAAGTCCTTGCTCTCTCTCTGTAAGCTAACTCTGTCTAACCTCTTGTTCTCACTCTGTCTTAGTCCTTGTTCTCTCTCTGTCTAACCTCTTGTTCTCACTCTGTCTAAGCCCTTGCTCTCACTCTGTCTAACCTCTTGTTCTCACTCTGTCTAAGCCCTTGTTCTCTCTCTGTCTAACCTCTTGTTCTCACTCTGTATAAGCCCTTGCTCTCCTCTGTCTAACCTCTTGTTCTCCTCTGTCTTAGCCCTTGCTCTCTCTCTGTCTAACCTCTTGTTCTCACTCTGTCTTAGCCCCTTGCTCTCTCTCTGTCTAACCTCTTGTTTCTGTCCAAGCCCTTGTCTTGTCTAACCTCTTGTTCTCTCACTCTGTCTCTCTCTGTCTTGTTCTCACCTCTGTCTAAGCCCTTGCTCTCACTCTGTCTAACCCTTGTTCTCACTCTGTCTTAGTCCCTTGCTCTCTCTGTCTAACCTCTTGTTCTCACTGTCTGTCTTGCCCTTCTCCTCTCTGTCTAACCTCTTGTTCTCACTCTGTCTTAGTCCTTGCTCTCTCTCTGTCTAACCTCTTGTTCTCACTCTGTCTCTGTTAGCCCTTGTTCTCACTCTGTCTAACCTCTTGTTCTTTTCTGCCCTTGCTCTCCCTCTCTCTCTGTCTAACCTCTTGTTCTCACTCTGACTAAGCCCTTGCTCTCACTCTGTCTAACCTCTTGTTCTCACTCTGTCTTAGTCCTTGCTCTCTCTCTGTCTAACCTCTTGTTCTCACTCTGTATAAGCCCTTGCTCTCACTCTGTCTAACCTCTTGTTCTCCTCTTGTTGTCTAACCTCTTGTCTCCCTCTCTGTCTAAGCCATTGCTCTCACTCTGTCTAACCTCTTGTTCTCACTCTGTCTTAGTCCTTGCTCTCTCTCTGTCTAACCTCTTGTTCTCACTCTGTCTTAGTCCTTGCTCTCTCTCTGTCTAACCTCTTGTTCTCACTCTGTATAAGCCCTTGCTCTCACTCTGTCTAACCTCTTGTTCTCACTCTGTCTTAGTCCTTGCTCTCTCTCTGTCTAACCTCTTGTTCTCACTCTGTCTTAAGCCCTTGCTCTCTCCTCTGTCTAACCTCTTGTTCTCCTCTGTCTTAGTCCTTGCTCTCACTCTGTCTAACCTCAACTCTCTTGTTCTCCTCTGTCTAACCTCTTGTTCTCCTCCTTAAGCCCTTCTCTCTCTGTCTAACCTCTTGTTCTCCTCTGTCTTAGCCCTTGCTCTCCTCTGTCTAACCTCTTGTTCTCCTCTGTCTAAGCCCTTGCTCTCACTCTGTCTAACCTCTTGTTCTCACTCTGTCTTGTCCCCTTTCTCTCTCTGTCTAACCTCTTGTTCTCCTCTGTCTAAGCCCTTGCTCTCTCTCTGTCTAACCTCTTGTTCTCCTCTGTCTTAGTCCCTCTCTCTGTCTAACCTCTTGTTCTCTAACCTCTTGTTCTCCTCTGTCTAACCTCTTGTTCTCTCTGTCCAAGCCCTTCTCTCTCTCTGTCTAACCTCTTGTTCTCTCTGTCTTAGTCCCTTGCTCTCTCTGTCTAACCTCTTGTTCTCCTCTGTCTTAGCCCCTTGCTCTCCTCTGTCTAACCTCTTGTTCTCCTCTGTCTTAGCCCTTGCTCTCCTCTGTCTAACCTCTTGTTCTTTCACTCTGTCTAAGCCCTTTGCTCTCACTCTGTCTAACCTCTTGTTCTCATTCTGTCTTGTCTCTCTGTCTAACTTGTTCTCCTCTGTCTAAGCCTCTTGTTCTCACTCTGTCTAACCTCTTGTTCTCTCTCTTTAGCCCTGTCTGTTAACCTCTTGTTCTCACTCTGTCTGTCCTTAACCTCTGTCTAACTCTTGTTTCTGTCTTCTTTGCCTTAGTCCTTGCTCTCTCTCTGTCTAACCTCTTGTTCTCCTCTGTTTTAGTCCTTGCTCTCTCTCTGTCTAACCTCTTGTTCTCACTCTGTCTAAGCCCTTGCTCTCTCTCTGTCTAACCTCTTGTTCTCACTCTGTCTAAGTCCTTGTTCTCTCTCTCTGTCTAACCTCTTGTTCTCACTCTGTCTAAGTCCTTGCTCTCTCTGTCTAACCTCTTGTTCTCCTCTGTGTAAGCCCTTGCTCTCACTCTGTCTAACCCTCTTGTTTCTCATTCTGTAAGCCCTTGCTCTCTCTCTCTGTCTTAACCTCTTGTTCTCCTCTCTGTCTCTCTTGTCCTGTTGCTCTCTCTCTGTCTAACCTCTTGTTCTCCTCTGTCTTAGCCCTTGCTCTCTCTCTGTCTAACCTCTTGTTCTCCTCTGTCTAAGCCCTTGCTCTCCTCTGTCTAACCTCTTGTTCTCCTCTGTCTAAGCCCTTGCTCTCTCCTCTGTCTAACCTCTTGTTCTCACTCTGTCTTAGTCCTTGCTCTCACTCTGTCTAACCTCTTGTTCTCCTCTGTCTTAGTCCTTGCTCTCTCTCTGTCTAACCTCTTGTTCTCCTCTGTATAAGCCCTTGCTCTCTCTCTGTCTAACCTCTTGTTCTCCTCTGTCTTAAGCCCTTGCTCTCACTCTGTCTAACCTCTTGTTCTCACTCTGTCTAAGTCCTTGCTCTCTCTGTCTAACCTCTTGTTTCTCTCTCTGTTATAACCTCCCCTGTGCTCTCTCTCTGTCTAACCTCTTGTTCTCCTCTAAGCCCTTGCTCTCACTCTGTCTAACCTCTTGTTCTGTCTAAGTCCTTGCTCTCCTCTGTCTAACCTCTTGTTCTCACTCCCTAAGCCTCCTTCTCACTCTGTCTAACCTCTTGTTCTCCTCTGTCTAAGCCCTTGCTCTCTCACTCTGTCTAACCTCTTGTCTTAGCCCTTCTCTCTCCTCTGTCTTCTTGTTCTCTGTCTTAGCCCTTGCTCTCCTCTGTCTAACCTCTTGTTCTCACTCTTAGTCCTTGCTCTCTCTCTGTCTAACCTCTTGTTCTCACTCTGTCTTAGTCCTTGCTCTCACTCTGTCTAACCTCTTGTTCTCACTCTGTCTTAGTCCTTGCTCTCACTCTGTCTAACCTCTTGTTCTCACTCTGTCTTAGTCCTTGCTCTCACTCTGTCTAACCTCTTGTTCTCACTCTGTCTAAGGCCTTGCTCTCACTCTGTCTAACCTCTTGTTCTCCCTCTGTCTAAGTCCTTGCTCTCTCTCTGTCTAACCTCTTGTTCTCACTCTGTCTAAGTCCTTCTCTCACTCTGTCTAACCTCTTGTTCTCCTCTGTCTTAGTCCTTGCTCTCTCTCTGTCTAACCTCTTGTTCTCCTCTGTCTAAGCCCTTGCTCTCTCTGTCTAACCTCTTGTTCTCCTCTGTCTAAGCCCCTCTTGTCTAACCTCTTGTTCTCCCTCTGTCTTAGTCCCTTGCTCTCACTCTGTCTAACCTCTTGTTCTCACTCCTTTAGCCCTTCTCTCTGTCTAACCTCTTGTTCTCCTCTGTCTTAGTCCTTGCTCTCTCTCTGTCTAAACCTCTTGCCCTTGCTCTCCTCTGTCTAACCTCTTGTTCTCCTCTGTCCAAGTCCTTGCTCTCTCTGTCTAACCTCTTGTTTCTCCTCTGTCTAAGCCCTTGCTCTCCTCTGTCTAACCTCTTGTTCTCCTCTGTCTTAGTCCTTGCTCTCCTCTGTCTAACCTCTTGTTCTCCTCTGTCTTAGCCCTTGCTCTCACTCTGTCTAACCTCTAACCTCTTGTTCTCCTCTGTCTTAGTCCTTGCCCTTGCTCTCTCTCTGTCTAACCTCTTGTTCTCCACTCTGTCTTAGCCCTTGCTCTCTCTCTGTCTAACCTCTTGTTCTCCTCTGTCTAAGCCCTTGTTCTCTCTGTCTAACCTCTTGTTCTCATTCTGTCTTAGCCCTTCTCTCACTCTGTCTAACCTCTTTTTTTCACTCTGTCTAAGCCCTTGCTCTCACTCTGTCTAACCTCTTGTTCTCACTCTGTCTTAGCCCTTGCTCTCTCTCTGTCTAACCTCTTGTTCTCACTCTGTCTTAGCCCTTGCTCTCTCTCTGTCTAACCTCTTGTTCACACTCTGTCTTAGCCCTTGCTCTCTCTCTGTCTAACCTCTTGTTCTCACTCTGTCTTAGTCTCCTTGTCTAACCTCTTTTGTTCTCATTCTTAGTCCTTGTTCTCATTCTGTCTGTCTAGCCCTTGTTCTCCTCTGTCTAACCTCTTGTTCTCACCTCTGTCTTAGTCCTTGTTCTCTCTCTGTCTAACCTCTTGTTCTCACTCTGTCTTAGTCCTTGCTCTCTCTCTGTCTAACCTCTTGTTCTCACTCTGTCTTAGTCCTTGCTCTCTCTCTGTCTAACCTCTTGTTCTCCTCTGTCTAAAGCCCTTGCTCCTCTGTTCTCTCACTCTGTCTTAGTCCTTGCTCTCTCTCTGTCTCTCTTGTCCTTGCTCTCTCATCTGTCTAACCTCTTGTTCTCCTCTGTCTAAGTCCTTGTTCTCTCTCTGTCTAAGCCTCTTGTTCTCACTCTGTCTAAGCCTTTGCTCTCCTCTGTCCAACCTCTTGTTCTCCTCTGTCTTAGTCCTTGTTCTCTCTCTGTCTTTAGTCTAACCTCTTGTTCTCACTCTGTCTTAAGCCCTTGCTCTCTCTCTGTCTAACCTCTTGTTCTCACTCTGTCTTAGTCCTTGCTCTCACTCTGTCTAACCTCTTGTTCTCCTCTGTCTTAGTCCTTGCTCTCTCTCTGTCTAACCTCTTGTTCTCCTCTGTCTTAGTCCTTGTTCTCACTCTGTCTAACCTCTTGTTCTCACTCTGTATAAGTCCTTGCTCTCTCTGTCTAACCTCTTGTTCTCACTCTGTCTTAGTCCTTGCTCTCACTCTGTCTAACCTCTTGTTCTCCTCTGCTTCAAGCCCTTGCTCTCACTCTGTCTAACCTCTTGTTCTCATTCTGTCTTAGTCCTTGCTCTCACTCTGTCTAACCTCTTGTTCTCACTCTGTCTAAGCCCTTGCTCTCACTCTGTCTAACCTCTTGTTCTCACTCTGTCTAAGCCCTTGCTCTCACTCTGTCTAACCTCTTGTTCTCACTCTGACTAAGCCCTTGCTCTCACTCTGTCTAACCTCTTGTTTAGTCCTTCTCTCTCTGTCTTAGTCCTTGCTCTCTCTCTGTCTAACCTCTTGTTCTCCTCTGTAAGCCAAGTCCTTGCTCTCACTCTGTCTAACCTCTTGTTCTCCCACTCTGTCTTAGTCCTTGTTGCTCTCTCTCTGTCTAACCTCTTGTTCTCACTCTGTCTAAGCCCTTGCTCTCACTCTGTCTAACCTCTTGTTCTCACTCTGTCTTAGTCCTTGCTCTCTCTCTGTCTAACCTCTTGTTCTCACTCTGACTAAGCCCTTGCTCTCACTCTGTCTAACCTCTTGTTCTCACTCTGTCTAAGCCCTTGCTCTCACTCTGTCTAACCTCTTGTTCTCACTCTGACTAAGCCCTTGCTCTCACTCTGTCTAACCTCTTGTTCTCACTCTGTCTTAGTCCTTGTTCTCTCTCTGTCTAACCTCTTGTTCTCACTCTGTCTAAGCCCTTGCTCTCACTCTGTCTAACCTCTTGTTCTCCTCTGTCTAACCTAAGCCCTTGCTCTCACTCTGTCTAACCTCTTGTTCTCACTCTGTATAAGCCCTTGCTCTCACTCTGTCTAACCTCTTGTTCTCACTCTGTCTAAGCCTCCCTTGCCTCACTCTGTCTAACCTCTTGTTCTCACCTGTCTTAGCCCTTGCTCTCACTCTGTCTAACCTCTTGTTCTCAGCCCTTTGCTCTCACCTGTCTAACCTCTTGTCCTGTTGCCCTGCTCTCTCTGTCTAACCTCTTGTTCTCCTCTGTATAAGCCCTTGCTCTCACTCTGTCTAAACCTCTTGTTCTCTCACTCTGTCTTAGTCCTTGCTCTCACTCTGTCTAACCTCTTGTTCTCACTCTGTCTTAGTTTTTTGCTCTCTCTGTCTAACCTCTTGTTCTCACTCTGTATAACCTCTTGTTCTCCTCTGGGGTCCTTGCTCTCTCTCTGTCTAACCTCTTGTTTCTCACTCTGTCTTAGTCCTTGCTCTCTCTGTCTAACCTCTTGTTCTCACTCTGTATAAGCCTTTGCTCTCCTCTCTGTCTAACCTCTTGTTCTCATTCTGTCTTAGTCCTTGCTCTCCTCTCAGCGATTGTCTTTTGCTACCATTCTCATTTCTGTCATCCAAATTGGCCACAAGGCCATTGGGTAGTTGATCATGTTTCTCCTTTCTGTTCAGCTTCCCTATTCTTGTCTTTTACTACATTCATTCTGTCATTTTACAAGGCCTATTTCTCCTGACATCTATTCTGTTGTCATCAATTAATCATTCAAATACAATTAGGTAGTTGATCATGTTTCTCCACCATTTCCTATTCTATATTTGCTTCTCATTCTGTCAATTATACAGGCCATTGGGTGGTATTCATGTTTCCACAACATCTATTCTGTTGCTTTCATTTATTTTCATTCTCATTCTGTCATCAATTAATACAATGCCATTAGGTAGTTGATCATGTTTCTCACAACATCTATTCTATATTTGCTTTCACAACAATTGTCTTTTACTACCATTCTCATTCTGTCATCCAATTAATACAAGGCTGTTAGAGTGGTGATATGTTCTCCAATTTCTATTCTATATGTTGCTTTCTAAGAATTGTTTTTTACCACCATTCATCATTCTGCATCCAATTTTACAAGAACATTAGGTAATCCATATTTCTCCCACCATTCCCTGTTATATTTGCTTTCTACAACGATTGTCTTTTTTACCATTCTCATTCTGTCATCATCAATTAATAACTACCCTGACATCCATTAGGTAGCTTTCACAACGATTGTCTTTGTACCATTCTCCTGTCATCATCCCTTCTGTATTTTGTTTTCCACAACATCCCCTATTCTATGTTCTTTTTTACTACCATTCTCATTCTGTCATCCAATTATGCAAAAGGCCATTGGTAGGTGATCATGTTTTCCACAATTTTCCTATTCTATGTTGCTTCCAACGATTTGTATTTTGGTACCATTCTCATTTCCCTGTCATTATTTAGAAGGCCCATTGGTAGTTGATCATGTTTCTCTGGCATTTCCTATTCTATGTTGCTTTCACAACGATTGTCATTTTTTACTACCATTCTCATTCTGTCATCCAATTAATACAGGCCATTAGGTAAGTTGATCATGTTTCTCCACAATTTCCTATTCTATGTTGCTTTCACAAGATTGTCTTTTACTGCATTCTCATTCTGTCATCCAATTAATACAAATGTTGGGTAGTTGATCATGTTTCTCCACAACATCCTATTCTATGTTGCTTTCACAACGATTGTCTTTTTACTACCATTCTCATTCTGTCATCAATTAATACAATGCCATTAGGTAGTTGGATCATGTTTCTCAATAACATCCTATTCTATATTTGCTTTTTCAACGATTGACTTTTTACTACCATTCTCTGTTCTGTCATCCAATTAATACAAGAGCCATTAGGGTAGTTGATCCCTCATGTTTTTCCACAATTTCCCTATTCTATGTTGCTTTCACAAAGATTGTCTTTTTACTACCATTCTCATTCTGTCATCAATTAATACAATGCCATTAGGTAGTTGATCATGTTTCTCAACATCCTATTCTGTGTTGCTTTCACAACGATTGTCTTTTACTACCATTCTCATTCTGTCATCAATTAATGAAAGGCCATTGGGTAGTTGATCATGTTTTCTCCACAACATCCTATTCTATATTTGCTTTCACAACAGTTGTCTTTTTACTACCATTTCATTCTGTCATCAATTAATACAAGGCCATTAGGTCGTTGATCATGTTTTCTCCACAATTTCCTGTTCTATGTTGCTTTCACGGCGATTGACTTTTTACTACCATTCTCGTTCTGTCATCCAATTAATACAGGCCATTGTTAGGTAGTTGATCATGTTTCTCCACAATTCCTATTCTATATTTGCTTTTCACAACGATTGACTTTTTTACTACCATTCTCATTGTCATCAATTAATACAAAGGCCATAGGTAGGTGATCATGTTTCTCCACAACATCTATTCTATGTTGCTTTCACAACGATTGTCTTTTTACTACCATTCTCATTCTGTGTCCAATTAATACAAATGCCCATTAGGTAGTTGATCATGTTTCTCCACAATTTCTGTTCTATGTTGCTTTCACAACGATTGTCTTTTACTACCATTCTCATTCTGTCATCAATTAATACAAGGCCATTAGGTAGTTGATCATGTTTCTCCCCAACATCCTATTCTATGTTGCTTTCACAACGATTGACTTTTTACTACCATTCTCATTCTGTCATCAATTAGTTACATGCCCATTAGGTAGTTGATCATGTTTCTCCACAACATCCTATTCTATGTTGCTTTCACAACGATTGTCTTTTTACTACCATTCTCATTCTGTCATCAATTAATACAATGCCATTAGGTAGTTGATCATGTTTCTCCACAACATCCTATTCTATATTTGCTTTCCACAACGATTGTCTTTTACTACCATTCTCATTCTGTCATCAATTAATACAAAGGCCATTAGGTAGTTGATCATGTTTCTCCACAATTCCTATTCTATGTTGCTTTCACAACGATTGTCTTTTTACTACCATTCTCATTCTGTCATCAATTAATACAAGGCCATTAGGTAGTTGATCATGTTTCTCCACAACATCCTATTCTGTTGCTTTCACAACGATTGGTGTCTTTTTACTACCATTCTATTCTGTCATCAATTAATACAATGCCATTAGGTAGTTGATCTTGTTTCTCCACAAAACATCCCTATTCTATGTTGCTTTCAAGATTGTCTTTTACTACCATTCTCATTCTGTCATCAATTAATACAAGGCCATTGGGTAGTTGATCATGTTTCTCCCACAACATCCCTATTCTATATTTGCTTTCACAACGATTGTCTTTTCTCCATTCTCATTCTGTCATCAATTTATACACAAAAGGCCATTGGTAGTTGATCATGTTTCTCTAATTTCCTATTCTATGTTGCTTTCACAAAAGATTGTCTTTACACCTTTCTCGATTCTGTCATCAATTAATACAAAGGCCATTAGGTAGTTGGTCATGTTTCTCCACAACATCCTATTCTATGTTGCTTTCACAAAGATTTTTTTTACTACCATTCTCATTCTGTCATCCAATTAATGCAAGGCCATTTAGTTGATCATGTTTCTCCACAATTTCCCATTCTATGTTGCTTTCACAACGATTGTCTTTTTACGCCATTCTCATTCTGTCATCAATTAATACAATGCCATTAGGTAGTTGATCATGTTTCTCCACAACATCCCATTCTATGTTGCTTTCACAGCGATTGTCTTTACTACCATTCTCATTCTGTCTCAATTAATACAAGGCCATTAGGTAGTTGATCATGTTTCTCCACAACATCTATTCTATATTTGCTTTCACAACGATTGTTTTTTACATTCTCATTCTGTGTCATCCAATTACTACAATGCCATTGGTAGTTGATCATGTTTCTCCACAACTTCCTATTCTATGTTGCTTTCACAACGATTGACTTTTACTACCATTCTCATTCTGTCATCAATTAATACAAGGCCATTAGGGTAGTTGACTGTGTTTCTCCCATTTCCTATTCTATATTGTTTACAACGATTGTCCTTTTACTACCATTCTCATTCTGTCATCAATTAATACAAGGCCATTAGGTGGTGGATCATGTTTCTGATTTCCTATTCTATACTTGCTTTCACAACGATTGTCCCTTTTACTACCATTCTCATTCTGTCATCTCAATTAACAATGCCATTAGGTAGTTGGATCATGTTTCTCCACAACATCCTATTCTATGTTGTTTTGCAACGTTGTCTTTTTACTACCATTCCTCATTCTGTCATCAATTATTTTCTGGGCCATTAGTAGTTGGATCATGTTTCTCAATAACATCCTATTCTATGTTGCTTTGCCAACGATTGTCTTTTTTACTACCATTCTCATTCTGTCATCCAATTAATACAAGGCCATTAGGTAGTTGGATCATGTTTCTCCACAATTTCCTATTCTATGTTGCTTTCTTTCTTTTCTACCATTCATTCTGTCATCCATTAATACAAGGCCATTAGGTAGTTGGATCATATTTCTCCACAACATCCTATTCTATGTTGCTTTCAACGATTGCCTTTTTACTACCATTCTCATTCTTGTCATCATTAATACAATGCCATTAGTAGTGATCATGTTTCTCCACAACATCCTGACCTATATGTTGCTTTCACAACGAGTGTCTTTACTACCATTCTCATTCTCATCCAATTAGCCCCAAGGCCATTAGATAGTTGATATGTTTCTCCCACATTTCCTATTCTATGTTGCTTTTACAGCGATTGTCTTTTACCTACCATTCTCATTCTTTCATCAATTAATACAATGCCATTAGGTAGTTGATCATGTTTCTCCACAACATCTCATTCTATGTTCTTTTCACAACGATTGTCTTTTTTACTACCATTCTCATTCTGTCATCCAATTATTACCAAGGCCATTAGGTAGTTGATCATGTTTTCTAATAACTTCCTATTCTATGTTGCTTTCACAACGATTGTCTTTTTACTACCATTTCTCATTCTGTCATCAATTAATACAAAGGCCATTAGGTAGTTGATCATGTTTCTCCACAACATCCCTATTCTATATTTGCTTTCAACGATTGTCTTTTTGCCACCATTCTCATTCTGTCATCACCATCACAATATTTGTTAGGTAGTTGGATCATGTTTCTCCACAACATCCTATTCTATGTTGCTTTCAGCGATTGTCTTTTACTACCATTCTCATTCTGTCATCATTAATCACAACGCCATTGGTAGTTGGATCTGTTTCCACAACATCCTATTCTATGTTGCTTTCACAACGATTGTCTTTACTACCATTCTCATTCTTTCAACAATCAGTGTACAAATGCCATTAGGTAGTTGATCATGTTTCTCCACAACATCTATTCTATGTTGCTTACAACGATTGTCTTTTTTACTACCATTCTCATTCTGTCATCAATTAACATAAGGCCATTAGGTAGTTGGATCATGTTTTCTCCACATTTCCCTATTCTATGTTGCTTTCACAAAACGATTGTCTTTTTTACTACCATTCTCATTTCTGTCATCAATTATACACAAGGCCATTAGGTAGTTGATCTGTTCCCAATAACTTCCTATTCTATTTGTTTTCACAACGATTGTCTTTTACTACCATTCTCATTCTGGTCATCCAATTAATACAAGGCCATTGGTAGTTGA